CGAGGGGGTGTCAGAGGTCCACCGGTGATCCCCGATTGATTCTGGGGAAGGGTTACAGGCATGTTGGCTTGGGGGGTTATGGGCGCACTGGCCTGCTACTTAACAAGCCCTTTTATCCCAATGGTCTAGTGGTTGGGATTCTGGCAGTCTCTGTTGATTGCAAGAGGCACAAAAAGATAGACACTAGGCACACACAGCTGCACAGGCAACTCGGCCAGCATACAAACTCACTAGGCAGTTTGTTGCTGTACAACTTGTGAAGTTGGCCCAGCCACTTCTTGATTGCCTCCACTCGTTTAGCATCATCAGGAATGTACGATGCTATGCGAAACAGCTTCGAACCTTCAAGCAGGTGCAGGTCGCACATGCGCCACTCGAGCTCGGCGTCCACAACCTTTACAAACTTCAGCGACAGCTCGACGCACGCTGTAACGTCTCCATCTGTCTCGTGGTCAGGGAGGGGCTGCTCATGCATGGTATAGACAAAGGAGACGGGCATGCCATCAGCGTCAACTCCTTCGGCCTTCATCTCCCTCTTCTCCAGCGACTGGTGGTTCTTGATAAACTCCGGCAGTTGCATTTTCTCTCCGGCTCCGAAATGGCTTGCAGGGTCCCTCAAGGAATAGTGGGTTTTCAGGCACAACCTTGTTTGCTGCACGATGTGCGCCATAAGGGTGACATTGATCTGCAAGTGGCAAGACCACCAGTTAGTGTGGTATCATAGAACAAAGAGAATGCACGCTGGAACTTCAAGGAATGAACACGGCTGCCTTACCTGGCGTTGCTGAAACTGCTGGTTGAGGTGGTTGAGTTCCCACAACACGTCTGCAAGGAACCGTATCAGCCACGGGAATTTAAACGAGGTGACCACCTCGTACAGCTCCCCCTTGTAATCCTTCAGCACCACGACTACTGCAGGGAGTACTTCGAGCAGCCGGTTCACCGCCTCACCCCGCGACAGCCAGCGGACGGCATGAATCCCCTGTGCCTCCAAGTTCATCTGGCAGAAAATGTGCTGGACCACATCGTCAACCATGCGCAACTCCGGGACTGCATCCACGGCATCACGGGCAACGAGCGCCTCCCTACACGGAAAAATAGAGCGAGGGATTGAAGTTAGTACACAATCCTTCTGGAAAGGCAAGGATTATAAAGTGCCCAAACAAGGCTCACCTGTGCGCGATACAGTAGATTGAGGCAAGGTGAGGAATCCTCATTCGCAGCCTCGCCACGACGCCGTTGTTCTTCCCCGTCATCACGCTTGCGCCGTCGGTTGAAATGCCTGAAATCTTCTGGAGGTCCACACCAATGGCAGTTAGATACTGCACAATTGCAGAGGTTATGGAAGCAGCATCACAGCGGTCAACTATGACCAACGTCAAAAACTCGGTAACAACCGTGGTGTTTTTGAAGGACGTGGCATAAATGATTAGATGTTTCCCATGTACGCGGTCTGTGCTTTCGTCGAACGAAATCCCCATCCACGGCAATTCCAGGAGGTGAAGGCGCTGAGACTCTTGGAGATATGTTGAGTGGGCTCTCAAGCATTCCTTGAACCCGTAACTGCCAAGCACACAAGCGGAACGCATCAGTATTTAACATAAACAACAGAACAAAAAAACCAGAGCTAAACAAACGCGTCTAACTCACTCGGTATAGTATGCGCCGTAACCGCTAGCCGGAGGAAGGTCAGGTAAGCCCTCCTTAGCGAGAAACCAGCAGAGCGGCACGAAAGATGCGATGGGAGCGTCTGCCTTGCAGACGAAGAGGGCAATGTGGAGGCACCGTATGATGTGCTTTGTCGATGCATCAGTTGTCTGCCACCTTGTTAGAGTAGCTTGCTTCGCTTTGGCCGCCTCTGCCAGCACTTCGTTCTTCAGTGCTTGCTTGTGGGCTCGAGAATCGGAGTGAGAGCGGATGCTCCCCACCTGCAAGTCACGACCTCCCTCTCCTCTAATCCTGAAGGCCGTGTGTGCGCCTAAACGTCCGTGTTTAATGCAAACCGCACATTTCAAAGAGGGCCTGCCGTTAGCCATACGGATGAGGCGCAGCCATGAAAATTTTCCTGCCCACTAGGTGTCGAATGTGCTTTTAGCAACATCAAACTCAGCTTCGGCACTTGTGGTAGGAGGCTTCGGCTCGGCATGAGCAGCAGGACGGGGAGGTGATGTTGCTTTGCGTAGAGCCGGGGCGCCCCAAAGCGTTTGCTGCGTGAACGTTGCACCCACGCGCAGACGTTTCAATGGCGTGGTGCTAGCTGTTGACGGAGTCCCCGCGGTTGCCTTCGACGAGCCTTTTCCACCGCCAGGAACAAGGACCAGCGAGGGGTGTGGCTCGAATGCCAATGGTGAATCGGGTGGCTCGAACGGGTAGACCGTTCCTACCTCACACTCCGGCGAGGCGTCACGCTGTGGCAGCGTGATGGGGACGGTGTTGTTGTTGCTAAGGCAGGGTAACACCCCAGGCACGGATAACCCGTTTCTGGTGCTACCAGGGGGATATGCCTCTGCAGCAGGCATGATTGAGAGACGACAGTGTGCTGTAAGAGAGCGATGAACAAGAAGGGGTCCCTTTGGGAAAGCAAGAACCCCAAAGAGGCCCCACTGGATTGATGCCCGCGCTGCGCGGGCAATGCATGGCTGCGAGTGCATCACCACAATGACTGCCAGCCGTTGCGTGCGGTAGCTCGAAGCTGTGCTGGCACACTACATGACAGGAATCGCAGTGGGACTGGTGTGGCAAGGCATAAATTTCCAGTGCGCTAGCAAAAAAAACTGCTAACCTGACGAATAGAAGGCAATGGCAGCCCACCGACCAGAAATCTCAATGTTGCACCTGTGGACCAGCTCGACAAGTGAAACTGTGGGCCAGTGGGCCGTTTTGTCAGCTCGTCACCTGTGTCCAAATCCTCGGTAAGGAAGATTCGGTAAAAGGGTAATGGAAATCGCACCCTGTTCAGAAAGGGTAATTGAAATTTGACTCAGGGTATAATATTTCATAGCCTTTTTGGTATAGGGTAAAAAAACTCATATCCGGGTTCTGAAAGGGTAACTGGAAAAAAACGGCCGCTCATCATGAGACCGTGACCTTTCCCTCATTCCAATTGACTCACAACAACTCCAAAAGACTCAAGCAGCAGGTATGGAACCAGCAGTTTCATGGAAGGTTCACAGTGAGGACACTTCAGCTGAGGTTTGACTCAAGCTGAACAAGTAGGTTCATGGACGGGAGATATCAGAATCATCGAACACCAAAACTTCCTTTTTTTAAACCAATCAATATCACTTGGGCTTATGTGAACAGTAGGTGCTACACATTCAGGGGTCCCCTTCCCCACACACATGAGCCACATGCTGGAGAAAGAAAATAGTCATAAACAATGTGCTGTGCTGATGTGCTCACCTCTTCAGCATGAATGGCCCACTTGGGCGTATCAATGTTCTTGACCTTCTCAGTGTGTGGCAAGATTTGGCATATATTGTCAGAGAACACCCCCAGCAGCCGCAGCTGCACTTCCGGGTGAGAGAGCTCCACCTAGCAGCCGATTAGTATAGAGTGGTCAAGCAAGAGTTACACCGATTGAATGGTACAGCTATTCAAACTTATTGTGAAAATACCACCATCTTATGAAAGTGTAAGAAAATCAGAAATGAGTTTTCTAGGTTAAGAGCTCACGTACTGCTACAAGTTAGACTCATGTTAAACATTGCAGCTCTCTTGAGTGATTTCAAGAGATACTATCACTGGCATTACCTTTGTCTTCAATTGTGCAAGCACATCTGCAATTGTAAATTGCCAGTAGAGCTGAATTTTGTACATTGACACCTGAAAACCAACAATCTCAAACAAAGAAGAGATGGGGTGAACAGGACCCGTCTCAGCTTCTGGAAAGCCAAGCCAAATTTTGGCTTTGGTCGAACCAAGAAGCTGACATGCACAATCCAAATGCTCTTATAACTTCAAATTGCTGGCTTGGCAATAGTCAATGCACCCACATGTGTATGTTTGTCTACATTCTGAAATGGAACTGAGAATTTTATACTAAAGAGTGAAAGATCTGTGACAGTAGAGTAACAAAAAGTGCCAATCACACGGGGTGAAGAAAATAGAGATGGAATGGCAAATATAGGCTATCTGCGATGCACAAAAAGCAACCCAATTGACAAGACATTTGTGCTTGCGCCTCCCATACCAAAACTTTGCTCCCACCTTGTTTTCCTTATCATTAAATGTAACATCAAGAGTCGCAACTGTCGCGAGTTTCTCCAGCTCTGGCAGTGGCACATCGAGCGTCTCAAAGTAGAGGATGCTTGATGCCTGAGAAATGGGGCCCGGAGGAACAAAAGGAATACTTGAGGGAAGTATGCCAGATAGCCTATGTTTGTCTTAAAGTTCAGAGCATGCTTGAAGTCTGAAGCCAGGTTGATAACTGTGGAGTTTTGGCACACACTGGCTGCCGATCTTTCTATATTATTGTCGCACATCATCCGCATATTAACATCGTTCAAAGGCGGCTGTCTCTTTGTGTACCTGATCGTCGTGGGCAAGCATATCGTCAAGGCACTTCGCCCCTCGGTACTTGATTGGTGATGACCTGGGCTGTAGTGAGTAGCAGTTGTGTGCGGTGAGCCGAATCTTGGCAGAATTGGAAAGCCCGAGCTTCTCTGCTAGCCAGCCCACCACTTCGTCGTATGTGTCCTGCTTGGAACTGGGCAAATCAATGGGGAAACCAGTGAGAAATAGGTGTCTGGGGATCTTATATGGGACACTCATGCCTTTCTTGGTTGGGATTGAGTGTATGAACAGAAAACAACAGTGGAATGGAAGCACTTGTTTGGGAATATTTGGGACACACTCTTACACAAATTGAGATTGAGCAGAGAAAACATCGTGGCAGGGCCACTTAGCCCAAGCTCCTCTGCCAGCCCTACTATGAATGAGTACTTGAACAACTATGTGAGAAGTTGAGGAATATTATGAGATTCTATTTTTTTGGGAACTTACAGCAGCAAGCAGAACGCATCTTCCCTGGGATTCTCTAGGCGTCGGAAGTGCACCACCTGCTGGGTCTGCACGAACTTGAGAAACAATGGCACGTCTGGGTGCTTCACTATACTCCTATATGCTGCTATGAGTGCCTTCTGCACCCACAGAATGCCGGCCTCCTTCAACTTCATGCCTTCGAAGGTGGATGCCTTATCAACGGGCTTAGACTCCACATCCATGCCAGAGTTCCTCTCCTGAAGGGGTGGGTGAGTGACAAAGGGGAGGGGGAGGGTAGGGGATGGGGCATCGTATCCACGTTTGACATATGTATAGGTTAATGTTCATTCTCGAAATCTGAATCTTTGGGAAGAGGGTAAGGGGCGATGAAGTGAAGGAATATGACAAAGGGAGAGAGGGCAATGATAAAGTTAAGGGTAAGAGAAATAGGGGAACGAGAGACGACAAGAGGGAGAGTGAGAGGGGAGAGAAACCGGGGAGAGGTGTGATAGACTGCTCAACGCTGGTTCTTTTGTCTAGCAGACACTTCCCGCCACCAGCCAGACTACACACCTCAAAAAGCAAGACGTCCTCATTGGCAGCAAGGCCACACAGCTCCTTGATCCTCCCGAGCACATCAGCAGGCTTGTTGTCCGGCTTCACAACGAGATGGCTTGCATACCTTGGGTGGTGGGAACAGGGAGGAAGAGGATTCAGAAGAAAGACAGACCAATTTTAAGAATGTCAAATGACAAGGCTATAGATAAGGGGAGGCAAGAGAGGAAGTGATGAAAGGAAAATCATGCATACGAGACGCAACTTGATGCTGAAACTGAAATGCTGGCTAGTATGCTTACCATCTGCACACCTCTCAGCCAGCATCTACCTACTAGCGCTGTGCGTCGGATCGTAGAGCTTGAGGAATAAAAGAATATCATCCTTATTCCTCCCCTGCAAAATATCAACAAGTGAGTCCTTGACTTTTGACTTGTGGAGGGGAGCCTTGGAAGTACCAATGAGTGCCTTAAAGGCTTTTTGCAACTTGGATTGAGCCTACAAGGCCAAGCAACCAAGGACCAACAAATACACCAAATCAAGGCCGGCCAAGAACCGAAACTCCATACAGGAAAAAAATGGAAGTTTGGATGGGTGGAAACGGAAAAAGCGACGGAAATCAAGTGATGGTTGAGTTGAACCATTAAAAGGCATAGCTTTGTCATTCACAAATGTGGAAATATAGCACTAATACGGTAGATCGATTCGAGTACACCCCAGGGAGGATTTGCAACATCCACGGTGAGATTGATTCACTGTGAATTCAGGGTGACACCACTTAAGGCAATGGATGAGATGAGAGATGAAAGTGGCAGCAGTATGCAGTTAGTCTTACAGAGGAGGGGGGTGTGGCTTGCAGAAACAACCGGACTGCCGTGCTCCCTTTCTTGAAAGATCTCCTCAACATCTCCACCTGGTGTGGATGCAAACAGGGAGATAAGAGAGCAAAGGAAACCCAGATGTTCAAGGCTCTCCCTTCCACTGTACCACTCCTCTCAAGAAACGCTGTCAAACCTGAAAAACTGTCATTCTTTGGTAGCAACACGTCACACTGATTTGGAATTGAGACATCTCAGAACAACTTCATGCTTATGCGGTCATCCTCCCCCACTATTGCCCCTCAATGCGTCCTCTTGCTACTCACCGTCATCTCCTCCTCCTTTGCACTCAGGTGCTTGATCGGCTGAGACATTGTACTTGGCTCCTTTCCCCACACCCAAAACTGCTGCCTGGCAACCGAAATCCCCATTTCCCTCCTCACTTCTGCCTTGAGTTCCGAAAACTTCATGTCCCTCTGCACTCGAAAGCTCCTGACTAGTGCATGGTCCACAAGATTAAGATAAAAGTTTTTGCCGATCTGCTGCTGCAGGTCCTCCTCTCGTGCCACCTTGATCTCTGTGAGCTGGTCCCCCTCCTTCTTCTTCAGCTTCAACCGATCCTACGAATGGAAATGGAAGGTAGACACGCGAGGTGTGAATGGCTAAGGCGACGGTTTTATGCTGACGCACACTAAGTGATCAGGATAAAAAAGCAAAGCCCAAAGCAGAGTAAATAGAAACGAGACATTTGCTTGACATGATGTCAGCAAAACGCATCACAAGATAGAGGGGAACGAGGGAATAAGGTGAGGAAAATACCAAAATAACATAACAAAATTGGAATGCATACGAGGGACAAGGTGTGAGACACCACCTACTTGCAACCGTTGCGCAATGCCATTCACATCCTTGCTGCAAATAATCTTCTCCTGGTCGGATTGTCGGATGTAGACTAGCATGTAGGCGTTGGAGTAGAGCTAAATGTATTTGAAGGGTCCGTTGCATGCGGGAGAGGCCAGAAGGAGAGACAAACGATAAGAAAGGGAAGAATGAACGGAAATAACCCCAAATTAATCATCCTCTACTTATCTCGCATTAAAAGGGTCAAGATTGAAGCATATGATACTTCTGCTAAGCATACTAAGCGTACCTCATTCTCGCCCTTAAATTCCTCCTTTGTCACTTCTTCATTGTCAAACTTGAGCCTGGTTGGGAAGAGAGTGGTGTACATCGGGGAGAGGAGTGTACGTCAGGGAGAGGAGTGTACGTCGTTGAGAGTGACAAGGGTTGTGTTATGTGATGCTATCATTTGCATTCACGTCTGTCTGCCTCCCATCATATGTTCGTGTGTTGCATGCGTGGTGTGAGCGTGTGCAAGAATTTGTGTGTGGTGTTGTTTGGATTTTCTGAGTATGTGTGAATGTTATTTGGCTTGAGCAGATATCTGAAGTGACTCCTCTGCTCAAGAGCTTCACGACGAACCGAGAATCACCGCGATCAGAGCAAGAACAAGAAAGATATGATCGTTCAAAGTTTTGATTGAGATGCGGCGACTATGGGAATTTGCGGGTTGACTCAATATGGGGTACAGATTTTTGGGGGTTGGGAAATTCGTCACCATCACTGTAGATGATACCAATTGGTTGGGAGAAGCCAAACCAGGTTGGCAAGTGTGGCCAAGTTGGGTGAGGTGGATGGCATGAGTTGGGAAAGTGACAAATGTCAAAGTTGGGGTGCCTATAGAGAGGGGAATTGTGTGGTATGGGGTTTCCTTGGTTGGGGACTCCCTTGGGACCTTCCCTCTCGTCCTCCTCATCCCCTCCTACCTAGTTCCATTGCTACTCCAACTTTCTTGTGTGAACTTGTGAGAAAATTGTGATCGAGTTACGTTTTTGGTGGCAGCATACCCCCTAGTGCACCGAAATTGATAACTCGAGTTATACTCCATATTTTGATAATATTCAAATTGGAAAAGATAGCCACGGTCAAGGGCTACAACATACTTGAGCTTGAGATAATTCTAACTGTGCGTTAATCGTCGACGATGTTTCTTGTGAAGTCGAGAATTCTGTCCAGAATTGAAGTTGACGATTTTGAGATATCTCGGCCCTTAATCTTCATAGACTCCGTCCTTAGTCTCTAACAAGTGGTATCAGAGCTGATTAAGGACTTTGTGGAGAGTCTACTGAACTAGACCCACCATGACCTGTGGGCGTGCCAAAGTGGATTTCTAGAGGTTGGATGTGACTTCCCCTAAGGGGAAACTCTGCCGAAATTTCGTTGGCGCCGACACTTGTGAAACTATTGTGGGACTTCAGTGTGGACAGCAAGGGGGGAGCTGGAACCTGTGCTTGGGAGCAGAGGAAATGAGTCAAGGGAGTGGAGATGCAGTTGAGAAGAGGAATGAGCCGCCACCATCCAAGATCGAGGCATTGGATGGCTCCAACTATGAGGAATGGAGCGGGCGGATGCGGAGTGCATTTAAGCGCTACAAGCTGCTGAAACTTGTGATGGGAGAAGAGAAGATGCCAGAGGAAGGCAACGCCCGCGATCGGTGGATTAAGAAAAGCGCGGTGCTGTACGACCTAATCCTTCAATCGGTCAACAACGACATGTTCCAACACATCAATGATTTGTTGGAGTTGGATGATTCCGGACCAAAGGCGTGGAAGCTACTACGCGACGTGATTCAGCCCAACACGCTGCCGATGGTGATTGTGTTGGAGAAGGAGCTGGCTGCCCTCTCCATGCGACCGGGCGATGATGTGAAGCCGGTCCTTGACAAGATCAAGGACACCTATGCGAGGATGGCAGCGGCGGGCAGCAATGTGTCGCAGATGCAGCAGTGCACCAAGATCATCTCGGTGCTCGACAACTCATGGGACAACCTCATCCCCACCCTCAACACTCAGCAGGACCAGAGGACACCTGAGTGGCTACGGCAGCAGATTCTGCAGGAGGACTTTCACAGGCGCCACACGGGTGGTGGTGCTGCCAAAAAAACTGCTGAAGGGTATGGAGCTGAAGGAGGCAGCAGGGGAAGAGGGGGAGGGAGAGGCCGAGGCCGTGGGAGAGGCTTTGGCAGGGGGAGAGGCCGAGGTGACTATAACGAGGGGCATGGGAGCTCTGGTGGCAGGGGGAGCACCCGAATGGAGGGTGCATGTTGGTACTGCAAGAAGGCTGGACACCCGTGGTTCAAGAGTTTCAGCTCACTTGAGGGATGGGCGCCTCCAGGCATGAAGCCGCCAAGTGGTGAACGTGCATGAGGTGGCGCTGTGCAAGGTTCAGGTGCACAAGGTGATGGTGCACACGGTAAAGCCAACCCTGGAATGTTCCTCATGGTTGAGGATGTGAAAGGGAGTGAGGGTGATGTGGGCACAGTTGGGAAGGTTATGATGCACCCCCTCACTCACTGGGTGATAGATTCAGGTTGCACAAGTCACATGACCCCACGGGCAGATTTGCTTGATGAGGTAAAGCCCCCTGGAAAGATGAAGTTTGTGGCTGCCGCTTCATGTGCTTTGCTCCCTGTGATTGGTGTTGGGAATGCCAAGGTGATGGGAGCCAATGGGGGGCTTGTGGGGCTGGGGAATGTGTTGTTGGTTGAAGGCTTGTCCGCTAACCTTCTTTCTGTGCGCCGGCTGCAGAAGAGCAAGGCCAAAGTGACCTTTGACCCAACCAGCTGCCGTGCAAAGCTTGGGAAGCTGCTGCTATGGAACCTGGAGGAGAAGAGCAGCTGTATCAAGGACCTATGGCAGCTGCCCATCATCCCTTGGAACGGGAAACCTCCAGCAACGGCAGCGGCAGCAGCAACGGCAAAGGTAACTGCAGGAGGAGAGGGGATTGCACCAACTGATGGGGCCCTGGATGCAGTCAAGAAGGTGCAGCAGCCACAGTAGCCACATGGTGAGGTGCTTGCTGGTGTGGATGCGACAGCTGCATGGGCAAAGGCTTCATCTGGGAGTGGTGAGGCTGATTGGGAGACATGGCACGGGAGGCTGTGTCATGTGAATTTTTCTATGCTGCAGAAGTTAGTGAAGGATGGGCGCTTGAAGGGGTTGGAGGTGAAGGGGGCAGCAAAGGAGGCTGGGAGCTGCCCTACATGCCTTGAGACCAAGTTCACGAAGTTTCCCTTTAGCAGCGGCACGGGACCAGCCAAGGCCCCGCTCGCACTTGTGCATATGGATGTGGTGGGCCCTACGAGGGCCCCTTCTCTCTCGGGCAGCCGCTACTTCTTAACCATTGTGGACGACCACACGCGTGCCGTGTGGGTGTACCCTCTCCAGACTAAGGGGGAGGTGGCAGCGGCTGTTCTTAAGGAGTGAATGCCGAGAGCTCAAAGGGAGAGCGGACACAAGGTGAAGGTGAAGAAGAAGGGCATTCAGCATCAGCTCACAGTGCCCTACAACCCTCAGCAGAATGGCGTGGCTGAGCGCTTCAACCGGACCCTGCAGGAAGGTGCTTGCACTCTCCTTGGGCGTGCAAGGCTGCCGGATCCGTTTTGGGTGACTGCACTGCGGCAGGTCACCCTTGTGAAGAACAGGGTGTTGGCGAATGTGGGGGACAAGCAGTGGGTCCCCTACACCAAGTGGTATGGGAGTGCACCAGCAGTCAACATGCTAAGAGCCTACGGCTCCATGGTGGTGTTTCATGTGCCTAAGGAGAAGAGGGGAAAGTTGGAGGCTAGTGGGAGATGGGGAGTACACTTGGGGCTTGCTAAGGATCACAAGGGCTGGTTGATATGGGACTTGACCAGCCAGCAGCTGACTGTGTCAAGGGATGTGAAGTTCCTCGAGTCCTTGTACTACAAGGAGTGGAAGCAGCAGCAGCAGAAGCTTCCTACTACACCGCTGATCATTGAGGCCAATGAGGTGCAGCGGCCTTCAAGGCAAGTGCAGGTCACTGTCTCAGATGAGGAGATCTCTGGGGTGACTGAGGATGGGGGAGAACCTGAGGTGGAGGAGCAACAGCAGCAGCAGCAGCAGCAGCAGAAAGATGCTCCACGACGTGCCCAATGTCCGCTTTATCGTCCTAGGAGGGATGTGCGCCCTCCTAATAGGCTGACCTATCCTAGTTTTGGAAAGCCAAAGGTGGTACAGGCTGGGAGTGTGGCTGAGCAGTGTGATGAGGATGAGATAGCACACTGCTACTGGGCAGCCGTCCCTGAGCCCAAGACGATAGCTGAGGCCTTGAGTGGGCCCGGTGCTGAAAAATGGAAGCAGAGTGTGAAGGAGGAGTATGACTCTCTGCTGGAGAATGAAACGTGGGAGCTGTGTGAGCTGCCTCCTGGGAAGAAGGCCATTTCTTCCAAGCTGATCTTCAGGCACAAGAACGGACCTGATGGGGAGCTGACCCGCTACAAGTCAAGGCTTGT